CTGGTGGGGAGGTGAGAAGGGGCGGGCCTTCGCTCGGAAGCCCCTGGCCTTGTGAGAAGTGCTCGAAGCCTTCCCCGAATACACAAAAAAAACCTCAGAGGGCGAGAGGGCTCCTTCTGAGAAGTCCCGCTGCCTTCAGAAAAAAAGGCCTTCCCATTCTCACTTCCCCCCCTCGCTCGCCGCCGACTGCTCGGTTCTGTTATGATGTGTGACGTTGCGATATGTTGTGTTCTGTGGTTCGTCGAAGGTGCGGAAGGCGGGATGCTCGGGGGAACTCCCGGTGGACCTGGGGACCTGGCTGCCGCGGTATGCAGGGTGGGCAGGTCGGGAGATCTATTCTGAAGATTGAATGACCTCAACCTGTCGGGCGGGGCGCAATGTGAAATCCGCGTGGCGGCAAAATGTGCACCGCGTTTGGGCGCCCCGCGATCAGGGTACATTACATTAGTGGTTTGGCAGGGGCGTGGGGAAGGCTAGCACATAGACACACATTTTTGCGCACGAAAACACAAGCCAAGTACGGAGGAGGAGGAGGAGGAGGAGGAGGAGGAGGAGGTGATGATGCGACGCTCGGCTTCGCTGTCTGCGTGCTCGTCCCGCGAGGGAAACCGGTGGGTGGCGCTTGGGACCTCACGAGGATCCACCACTTACGCCACCACCAGTTTATCCTCCTAAGGGAGGAGGAGGAGGGAGGAGGGAGGAGGAGGAGGAGAGGGGGAGGGGGAGGGGAGGGGGAGGGGAGAGGAGGAGGAGGAGGAGGAGGAGGAGGAGGAGGAGAGGAGGAGGAGAGGAGAGGAGGGAGGAGAAGGAGGAGGAGGAGGAGGAGGAGGAGCAAGTACGCGTCGCCGCACATACTTGGGCCACGCGCGGGCGCCCCGCAATCGTGTTGCACTCCGCGCGGCTGCTCGCCGGGGATGAATGGAGGCCCCCGCGCAGCTGCTGCAGCGCGTGCGCGCGCGGGCCGACCATCCTTGGGGGGCCACATGCGAACCCTACCCCTTCCCCCCCACGATTTCTGAGGGTGAGGGTGGGGTTCGCTCCGCTCGAGAGCTCGCGAACGAAGTGAACCCCACCCTCGCCCTCAGAAATCGTGGGGGGTAGGGGTAGGGTTCGCATGTGGCCCCCTAATCCTTGCCAGAAGCACAGCAGTTTTCTTCTGGAAGCGCGCGCCGTGTCCCCCGCTGCCCGCCCCGCCGCCGCTGCTTTTTTCGTCTGCCCGCGCAGATGCCGTTCGCACACGCGATGGGCAGCAGACGGACGGCTGCGACAAAAAGCCCATTGCTAAAAAAGCTACTCGGCTTCAAGACCGGCCTGCGTCGGCAGAGGAAGGGGATGAGAGCAAATCAAGCACAGTAGCAAAGAGCGTTCCCAGAGGGCCGGCCTCTGCCTGGGAACAATCTGCTGCAACAGTGCCAATGCACTCACGAAATTGCACCGGAGGAAGCGGAGGAGGCTTGGGCCAAACATGTTGCTCTTCGGCAAAGACGCCGGGAGTCGCCCTCTTCCTTTCGACAAACATATCGGGGGTAGACTTTCTTGCGCTGTGTGCTGCCACGTGCACTGGCGCGCAGCACTGCGGCCATCTGAGCGCGCCGCGCACATGGCGCACCTGGCGCGGGCGGAGCACGTGGCGCACTTGGTGGATGTGGGGTCCGCGGCGTCTCTAGCGCACCAAACGCGCCTGGAACGCTTCAGTCCCTGGGGCGCCTGGCGCACCCGGTGCGAGAGGCACACGTGGCACGAGTGGCGCACCTCGCGAGCGTCGCATACCTGGCGTCCATTAGGTGCCCGCTGGCGGCCCATCCAATGGCGACCCTTGCCAATGCTGAATCTCGGGTGTCACTTGCGTGGCGGGAGGGCAAGCGGGAGTGAGCGAAACGGCCGTCGTTCGGGGGGGGGGGGGGGGGCTTCACCGCAGTTTCCTATCCGTGCACGCCCCCCCTCCCACTCGACCTGTCCCCAACCCATGCTGCCACTGCCGATGCCCCTCCCAGCCCCATCCCCGTCAAAAGCAGACCACGACATGCACTCTGCCACAAGATCTGCATCGTGCTCGGGAGCCCCGCGACCGCTCTGCACCGCTCTGTGGTGGGTGGCGGCGGAGGCGCAGGGACACTGCGCGGCCAATGCAGGCCCACCGGCCCTGCCCCCAAAAAACGAGCGCACCGCTCGAACCGCGGCAAACGCCTCGAGCACACGCGGGCACACGGCGACCACTTCGCACTGCCGTTCGGCACGAGGATTTTGGGAATGCCCTGGCACGCGCGTCGCACCTCGCGGGCATCGCGCACCTGGCAAGCGTCTGCATCGGTGCCCGATGGTTGTCGATGGCGGGCCCTGAATATGATGAGGCTCGGGTGCTCCTGATGTGGGAGTGAGGGAGGCGGGGGGGGGGGACTCCCTTCAACATGCTTTAAAAAAGCCACAAGGCCGACCCAATATGGCTCCAAATGGCCACGGATTTTCCCAAGGACGCCCAACAGAAACCAAATACTAAAGGAAATACGTGTTGTTGTTGCAGTCTCGGCGCAAGAGGAGCCCTGGACGGCCCAAGACGGCCCTGAGAGAGCCCCAGGCTGTCCCACGAAAGCCTCTGGCCTCCTCCTCTTTCTCCTCCTCCTCCTCCTCCTCGTCCTCCCCCCCCCTCTGCTCCCCCTCCTCCTGCTCTCCTCTGCCTCCTTCTCCTCCTCTTGCTTATCCTCCACATCCTTCTCCCCCCTCCTCCGCCCTCATCCACCTCCTCCACCCTTCCTCCACCTCCCACTCATCCTCCTCCCCGTGCCCACCCCCCCCCGTTCTCATCTTCGTCGTTCTCAGGGTCGGCGGCACTGGCCGTAAGGCCTGCGCAATACGTGTTGTTGTTGCAGTCTCGCCTTGTATTTTCAAACTTGCTTTTGGGATGTCAAGATGATGGCTCCAAGACTGCCCACCCCCACGAGCGCCCAAAGAGAGTCCCAAGATGCGACTTGTTCTGGCTCGACGAGGGGGGCGCTAATCAAGAACACCCCCCTTCGTCGATCGATGCCTCCCAGATTGCCCCCAAAAGGGTTTGCAAGGCCACCGAGAAGGCCCCAAGAGCGCCCCAAGAGAATGATACCCTGCAAGACACATCTAAACATCGAGTTTGGTTGCTCATTTCCCCAGCGGCAGCTGCATTCGGAAGGACCACATGGTATCTATCATGCCTCCCTTAATCAGATGTGTTTACAGCGCTTTCGTACAGAAAAGTAAATACGAATAGAGATGTTCCAAACATAGATGCGTTTAGATACGACGTCTTACTTTTTAGATACGGGAGGTATGTTGTCTTCCCAAGTTTGGATTCGGGGCCGTTTTTTTGTTTAAAAAAAATACGAATAGGTATGCTTAGATATGTTTAGATGCGGTTCAATATGGCGCCCATCGCTGGAAAACATGTCTACCGAAAACAGATACGAGTAGATACGGCGCCATGTCTCCTGCGCACGCCCACGATCGATCCTTCTCGCTCCTCGCTCCTCTTGGATCCTCCTCATCCACACTCCTCGGGGCTCATCTTCTCTTCTATTATTTCGCCACACCCTGAGTGAGGCTCTTGTCCCCCGCATCCAGAGTGGGGTTCTTGTTTCTCTACAACATCCTCTCCTGTTCCTTCTCCTCCTTATCCTTCTCCCGCCTCCCTACTATACCACACCAATGGGTATCCTACCAATACCACGCCTACCTACAATACCATACCTACCACACCACACCTACCATACCATAGCCACCATACCATACCAAACCTACTATACCAGACCATACTTACCATACCATACCATGCCGTACTATGTATGCCATACCTACTAGACCTACTATACCATACCTCTCCTCCTCCTCCTCCTCGCCTCCTTCTCCTCCTCGTCCTCCTCCTCCTCCTCCTCCTCCTCCTGCTCCTCCTACTCCTCATCCTCCTCCTCCTCCTCTTTGCTCTCCCCATCCTACGGTTCCCTGTTCCTACCCAATTCTCTCCTAAAATTTGTTTCGTCGTTGTTATCCATCCTGCTCCTCGTCGTTTTTGTCGTCATCGCTTGTCTCCTCACTCCTCATCGCTACGGCATCCCACTATCCTCATCCCGTTGTTCATTGCTTCGACCAATATCATGGATCTTGTTCGTGCCAGGAGCACAGCCAACTGCATCCGTTCTGACCAAAATTAGATACGAATAGATACGGCGCGGCACTGCCATTCTTTGAAACATCGATACGAATAGATATGTTTCTTGAAGAAAAACAGAGGCGGTCCCAAATGTTTATTAGATATGCTTGACAATAGATACGATTAGATACGGCGACGCTCCCGCGCAGGCCGGGGGCGCGCATCTAAAAATAGTATCTATATTGTCGTCGTTGCGGGAAAATAGATACGATGGGCTCCTCGCCTGCGCCAGGTCGCGATCGCACCTAAACGCATATATTATTTCGAGATACGTCTTGCAGGGTAGAAGCATCCCCAATAGCCCCAAGAGGACAAAAATACAGCCCGAGCAAACTGCCAAGAGCCGGTCATATCGCAGGATCCGTGAAAGCATTTATAGATAACTCCTGAGTCTGCTAAGGCTGATCCCGGCCTTCGGTTTTACGGCGACCACCCTCTTTCCCGTTGCTCCACTGCCTGTTGCTCCACTTCCCTGATCAAAACAACTCACCCAGGCAAAATATCTGAATGTAAGTGCATGCGACGCGTCAAAATTCAAGACATCCTGGTTGCGCGGTGAGTCATCAAATCTATGTATCATGACTCGCTAGAAATCGCTACCAACTGTGACACACCCTCAATCCTTGTACGAATGGTAAGTTGTATCATTATTCGACTGCGACCTCGCGCGAAGAAGACCAACATCCGCCGACCTGTGGGCTACCGTTCAGACTAAAGGTAAACGGCAAGTCAACACAAAAAACCCACCTCATATACTGCGGGTCCCACTGCTACTGACAAGAACTGTGCCAGTCCGGCCAATTTTAACCATGGCTACAATTTTTCAACGAGAATGAAAAAGGAACCGCAACATCTTGTGAATGATAGTCTCTAGATCCTGTCGGCTGCTTGTTAGCCTTGCTCCCAAATTTTGGGAGACCAACTGCTTGATCCTCCCTGGCCTCGCAGAACGGGTATTGAACACAGGGAAATGAATGAAATCCTTTGCAAAACTCAGAACCGGCCACACAGAGAAAGCACCGTCAACCTCTGCACGGCCAATCCATTCTGTAAAGGGCACCAGAGTCAGGACGTCAAATGGTTTACCGAAACGTTCGAGCATTCCACGCAGATCCATCAAGGGTAGGTCTTCGGCACATTCAGTGAGATGGCATGGCCTCGTCTCGTCACAGAAAAGCAACTCTACAAGAACTTCACTTGCTGTGTCCGCAGCCAAGAAGCGGAGGAACGTCTGAGGGACATCGCCGGAGGGTTCTGGGAACGCCCGCGTGTGGGCGAAGCCGATGAGCAAACGGCACAAGAAATCTTGCGCGTTACACGCGCCGCTCCTGGAATCCCCTCCCACCATTCCCAGCCGGCAGACCAGCGCACTGAGGCCTCTCGACTGCCCCTGCTTCACCAGCAGCTCTCCGACCAGCTTGCTCAGCCTGTACCCCACAGGCTCGCTCCCGTCCCCCTCCCGCGGGACCGGCAGCTCCTCCGGGTCCGGCTCCTCGTCCCCCGCACCGCGCACGAGCACGTCGGTGGTCGAGGCGAAGAGCACCCGGGCCCGCGCCCGGAAGGCGAGGCGCAGGACCTCGATGGTGCCCCCGACGTTGGCGCTGCGGTGGGCGGCGAAGTCGCTCCGCAGGTCCACCTCTCGGCGGTGGACAAGCCTCCCTGTAGTAGACCTCCCCTCAGTGAAGACGGCCTGGGACCGAAACCGACGGACCTGGACCCGCAAGAATGACCGCGACGCCCTCTCGCGAACCGAAAACGGCAAATGACGGCCGCGACGCCCTCTCGCGAACCGAAAACGGCCAATCCCTTAATCGACGTGTCAGGGTAGGAGGTCTGTCCACCCCCGAACCTTGGCCCCCAGGTGCAGCACGTAGCCGACCCGGGCCGCAAGCGCGTCGGCGGCCGCCTGGGTGAGGCCGAGGCCGTCAGCGGAGAGGCTGCCGCAGACCACCTCCAGCCCCCCGGCCATGCCGTCGGACCAGAGACCCGCGGACAGCAGGCGCGCGTGCATCCGGTGCAGCGCGGCCTCCGGGTTGGGCGCGCGCACGAGGCAGATCACCTGCCGCCCTCTCCGCAGCAGTTCAGCCGCCACGAAGGGCCCGAGGAAACCCGTGCCGCCGGTCAGCAGCACGGCCTCCCCCCTTTCGCCACTCAGCGCCAACCCCGGACCAACATCTGTCGGAAGCTCGATTTTTTCGGGTGACGCTGTGCTGAGCATACTCTTGACACGCTGAAGGCTGAGTTCGCCTTGCCCCGTCGGGAGCAATAGCAACTTAATGACAGCGTCCCTTGGAACTCCCAATTTCCCGTAAAGATTTGCAATCTCGTTCGCCTTGATGGACGTTCCACCCTGGTCTCTGAACCCCATGCTCTCATCGAGGTCTCTCGTGGGATCGACGCAATCTCGTGCAAGGTCATCAAGCGCCGTCTCTAGATCCTCACGATAGATCTTGAAGATGTGGCTACGGTTGAGCTTGTCTGTTCCATTTAGCGTCTGTTCCTGTTGACTAAAATGTTTGCTCGCTACTATGACCCGCGCCACAATTTCATGGTTTGCGCAACCATGTTCTGCGGCACAGGCATGCAGTCCTTTTAGCAATTCATGCTCTGGCGTGTTTAGTCGCACTGGGTCGACGACGGCGACTGTTTGATCGTGACGTCCGTCGCCGTAGACCATGGCATACCGGACACCTGGCGCACTTCTATCCGCCACCGTGCCTGCACGGAGTGGGCGTGCTGGAATGCTCGTCTGTTGTCTTGAACGGTTTTCCTTTGCTTTCCATTCCGCTTCCGGACGGCAAACATCTCTATCGAGACGGCTTCCAAGACAGCCAAGCTGACACCAAAACGGCCCTAGCTGGCCCAAGACGACACGAGATCCTCCCAAACAGCCTCAAGACGGATCGGGTGGAGAAGCTCCCAAGACGGCCCAAGAGAGCTCCAAGAAGCTCTCCAGGAGAGCCCCAAGCAGAAAATGCTATTTTCCGGTCTGTTTTGGACGATTGTGAGGCTCGCACCTGTTTGGGTCTCCGACTGCCCAAGACGGACCACGAGGCCCCCACCCGAAATAGCTCCAGGACAGCCCATGAGAACCCCAAACGAAGGCCCACGAGGACCCACCTAAGAGGGCCCCCAGACGGCCCTGAAGCCTTCCGAGAGTGTACCAAGGCGGCCCAGAGAAGCCCGCGCCCGACGGGCCAAGCGCCCCCATCAGACTGCCCAAGAGGCCCACGAGAGGCCCCCGAGAGGCCCCCCAAGAGGCCCGCTGCAACAAGTTCTGCGCCGCAGCGCGGCAAGGGCAGTCCCGCACGCGCGCTCGGGCAAGCCGGGCGACGGCATTGCGAATTGCCTGGGGTGCAAGAGGGAAGGGGAGGGGACAGGAGGAGGAGGAGGAGGAGGAGGAGGAGGAGGAGGAGGAGCAGGAGGAGGAGGAGGAGGAGGAGGAGGAGGAGGAGAAGGACCAGGAGGAGGAGGAGGAGGAGGAGGAGGAGGAGGAGGAGGAGGAGGAGGAGGAGGAGGAGAAGGACCAGGAGGAGGAGGAGAGAGGAGGAGGACAGAAAGGAGCGGCCGCGGGAGGAGGGGAAGCAACTAAAGCGCTTACGGCCGGCCCCAGCAAGGGCCCGAGGAAGCTCCCGGGACGCTCCAATCGAGCCCCTAAGAAGCCGTCCCCTCCTTGCCTTCCTTTTCTTCCCTGTCTTCGTTTTCCCCTGCTCCTGCTCCTGTTCCTGCTCCTCCTGCTCCTCCTCCTCCCTGCCGCGCGGACGAACAGGAGGTTGAGTTCACGACCCACCTCGACTCAGACTGCTCGCTGAACTGCAGAAGGGCGTGAACTCCTCCCCCCTACCGCGAGGACGAAGGCGCGGTCGAGTTTACGACCCGCCCCACTCCAGACCAGTCGTCGGAGTCGCGGTGCTCCTGCACTCAATCTCCGTCCTGCTGCGCTGTTGGACAGGCACGGTGGCAAGGCTTGCCGCAGGCAGCTGGATAGATATCCTCGAGGCTCTCAACCGCGATCCACTTCCCGTTCGAGAGCTTGATGGAACTCCCGGCACGGCCTAGAACATCGACATATACTTCTTCGCCCTGCCTTGGCTGAGTGGGATCCCAATCACTTGGAGCCCCATTAGGCCATGTGATCTGCACCACATCGCCCATCAAATAGAAGCCATGTTCATCAAATGCTTCTTGAGTCTTGTCAGGGCTTTGGTCGTAACCTGAAAACATCATGTTCCCCGTCTTGACTGCCAGTTGCCCCTTGCCCTCCGATATGTCAAAGCCTTCCTGAGGGAGAAGCTTCCACTCGACGTGCTGGGACATCTTTCGATTCGTCGCCACGTTCCCTGCCTCGGTCGAGCCATAACCAATGATTCGCTGAACCCGCGGGCCAGAGGCGTGCTGAATGTTGCCAGCAGAGGGGACGGAGAGCACTCTGCCCTGGCTGCTGCTGGACGCTCCCAACTGCCGCTGGCTCTGCCGCTGCCGCTGGGAGGGCCCTGGCTGTGTACCGTTAGAGCCCCAGCTGGCCCCAGCGTGGCCCTGAGAGGTGCAGGACGCCTCCACAGAGAACCCCAAGAGGCTCCAGGAATACCGCCAAATTAAGCCATAGGGCGGAATAAAGAAGGCAAGACCATTGGAACGCGCCGAAGTGTCACAAAACGCGCCGACTCGAGCAAAAACAAAGATGCGAGGGACCCTAGCCTGGCAGCGTCCTTGCCCCTGGGGCAACACGGTGCATCGGAAAGAAGACCCTTGGGCCAGAAAGGCCGAACATGTGAGGATGGCAAGAAACCGAAAGATACAAAGTGCCCTTGCGAAAAACGCCTATTCTCAACGCCGGTTGAACCTGTGTTTTTCATGCAAAATCTTGCCAATCCCCGAGAATGATCCGCTACATCGGACATTGGGGGGTGAGGTCGAATTCAAAGGAAGGCCCCCTACTGGGAAATCGGATTTCGGTTTCGGTTCGTGTCTTCCGTGCGGTCGAGGCGAAGCTGCGATGGACCCTCCCACAGGAAGTGAACTCGCAACAAACTGGCTCCCCCGCGCCACAATAACCCTGGCCGTTCACCTGTGGATGTGACGTGGTTGTCCCGATTACCCACCGCGCGGTTCCCGGGTGGTCTCGCCGTTGTAAGGTTCATTTGAGGTTTGCGTGACTGCCATCACGCTCAGCTGCATGAGCCTCCCCAGCCCTCCTGAGATCCCCTTCGTGCGGTCCGACGCCCCCACGGCGTTCTGCGAGGCTGTCCAGGCTTCAGACATATTCCAGGAAGGGCGCCCAAAAACTTCGAGGAAACCAGCAAGAAGGCCAAGAAGACCCCCAGGACGGCCCGAAGCACTCAAAACAAGAAGGCCTTTCCATAGCATGTTTTTATTTTTTACACAAGGCCCGCAGTGAGATTAACAAAATGTCCCCCCCCCCCAGTGCTCCGGGAGGTTCGCGCAAAATGCCTGCACAGCACTAATGAAGCCCTCCGAGGGGGCTCAAACTCGACGGGCTGGCAGCCCCCAAAATTGCATTCCGCTACCATTCCCTAACATGATGTTTTTAAAGGGTTCCACGTGTATGCAGACGCCAGGATGCTTCGTGTTGGCTCCGCGCGCGCTCTGTGTCTAGGTGGCCCCTGTGGGCGCGGGCAGACTGCTTCAGTCTTCGAGTCGCTGGCCCCCGGCCTTCTTAAGCGCGAGCGGGGGCTGGCCGACGGGTGTGCGTCCTTCTCTAGCCTTCTATGGCGCCTCTGGGGGAGGCATTATTGGGGGGCTTCTCGCGGGACATGGGAGCCATCTTGGAGGGAATGACTCTGAAGGCCCCTCGTTTCCGCCCTTTTGAGCCCCTCTTGGGATTTCTGTTGGAAACTCGCGGGGCTTTCTTGGGGTACTTTTTGGGGCTTCTCGGGCCACCCTCGGGCCGTCTTGGAGCTGCCTTGAGGGCCGCGTGGGCCGTCTTAGAGCGACCTTGGAAACATGCTGGTATGTGTAAAGCAACGGGAGACCCGAACATGCGACAACGGCACGTTTCTTCAAACGCCAACGGAAAATCAACCATTCTTGCTGATTGGGGCACTGTGCGAGGCCCTCTTTTTTTTTTGGGGGGGGGGGCTCCCTTGGGGACATCGTGGGCGATGTTGAGGCCACCGTGGGCTCTCTGTCAGCGCTCTGGAACCGCCTCAAGGCCGCGTGTGCCACCTGGCCGCTCGCTTGAGTTCCTAGAGGATGGAGGGGCCATCTTGGCACGTCCTGGAGCCACCAGAAGGCAGCGCCACACCGATAGACAATTTTGGAGTCTGCCCTTGGGGCCCCGGGCACGTGCATGACGTAGGAATGTCTGCACGCGTACTTCTCAAGCACTGCTTGCATCTAGGGCTTCGTACTCGTCGTTGTTCAGTACTCGGTTGGGTGTTCCCTCGCCACGTTGCCGCCCATGCCGCCTCGTGGGCGCTCATGGGCGCCCCGTACGCTTGCGGGGGCGTGCCAAGGTGGCGCCACGACGCCGCCGTACTCTGCGTTGATCAGTACTTGGCTGGGTGCTCCCAGCTTTCGCCACGTGGCCGCCCATGCCGCCTCGTGGGCGCTCATGGGCGCCCCGTGCGCTTGCGGGGGCTTGCCGAGGTGGCGCCACGAGGCCGCCCGTGCCGCTTCGTGGGCGCTCGGTGCGCTTGGGGGGGGGGGGCTTGCCGAGGTTGCGCCACGATGCCGCCGGTGCCGCCTCGTGGGCGCTCGTGGGCGCCCGTGCGCTGAGGGATTGGCCGAGGTGTCGCCACGATGCCGCCCGTACCTCCTCGTGGGCACTCGTGGGCCTCCATGCGCCGAGCATCGACCACGCAGCTTACGCTACATACCTTGCACGACCTGGCCTGCACCACATAGCCTTTACCGCACAGCTTGCACGAGCCTGCTTACACCACATCGCCTAAACCGAATAGCTTTGAACTCCGGCTCACACAACATAGCTTGCACTATATACACACATATATACATACACATATATATATATACATATACACAAGACGGCAGTGGCGCTTCGCGCCACTGCATCTTGGTCCTTGAAGTTCGGTGTGCAGGCGGACTAGCAGGAAGGTCAAGCCGACACTTTAGCGATAACTCCTTGTTGCAATTTCTGGCATCGCCGCTCTAATAATGTTTGCGTTATCCTTCCTCCATGCTTCTTGATCCTCATTTTCGCCATGCCCTGCGCATTCTCCCCATCCTCCTCAGCTCTTTCTGCGGAGGCTCCTCCTTGGAGAACCTCTGGGGACATCAAAAAATTGTTTCAGGCTTTCTTAAGGCCTTCTGGAGGCCTCCTGGGCGTGTTTTGGGGGCCTCTGGGGGCCTTCCTCGGACCACCCTGCCTCCAACCGCAGTCTCCCTGAACGACCGGGTCACAATTTGGAATTCTTCGGAGGGTGTCTTGGGGCCATCTTGGGCCGCCATGGGGCTCTCTGAGGGCCATCTTGGGCCTCTGTTGTGCCGTTTTGGGGCTCTCTTGGACAACCTGGAAGCCCTTTCGGATGGTTGCGGGGCGATTTTGGAGCCTCCCAGGCGGCTTCGGACGCCCAGAAGACCGCCGTCTTAGAGCGTCGGGAAGCCGAAAAGAGGAGAACCCCCAAATAAACCAAAAACCAACAGAAGATCAATGATTTTTGCCTCTTGGGGCCTTCTTGGGAGTGCTCTCGGAGGCCTCTTGGGACGTTTCGGGGCAATCTTTGGGGGTATGACGGCTTCTTGGGGGTCGTCGTGGACCGTATTGGGGCTCTCTGAGGTCGTTTCGGGAGCGCGCCACGCCCTGCGAGGCCCGGGGGCCGCTTCGAGGCCCGTCCAGAAGGTCCCATAAGCCCCAGATCCCGGGAGTCCGGTTTTGGGCGGGGGGGGAGAAAGGGTTTCCCCCCCGCCCGGGCTTGTAAAATTATAGGAAGAGGAGAATCTGTATAATATACATATACACATGTACAAGGCTGCATTGGCGCTTCGCGCCATCTACTTTGATCCTCGAGGCATTGCTTATGTTAGTCGTTCGCGCCATCCCTAGTGGCCTTGGAAATTTGGTTCCTTCCCTGCGGTGGTTTTCGGAAATCTTTGAAAATTCGGGCGGTCCGTGGCCCTTCCTGGGCCTCCGAGGTCTCCCGAAAGGCGCCGGGTGGAGGGCAAGGATAGGAGGGAGGGAATCTCGGGGAGCGAGGAGAGGGAAGCGGATGTGGGAGAGGACGAGTGGTGGAGCGGCAGAAAGAGGAGGAGGAGGAAGAGGAGGAGGAGGCCCCAGAGGAGGAGCAGGAGTAGGGAAGCAGATGGTGCCGTCGCGGGACGGCGAAGAATTTCGGTTGCGCTGCACTGATGAGCGCTGTCCAGAAGCCAGCGGCGACGGTTTCATGTGTAGGTACACGCTTGCAGAAATGTCTGGCATTGAATGACGACGACAGGCCTTCGTAGGTCCGCACATTGGCCCGCTCGAGGCTCAGGTGCCCCGGCGCGCAATGCGAAGGAATGGCAAACAACACAAATTAATGCCAAGCGAACCGACGCAATGTCACGCAATGCCGCTAAGCACACAGCTATGCCAAGCCGAGGATGTCATGTCGCAGCGGGTCGCAACGGGGCACTCGAAAGTCAGCAGTTCTTGGGGAATGCACCGAACCCCAGGTTCGCAACAGATTTCTGGGAAATGTGGTTGCGAACCTGGGATTGGGGTCAGTTTTGTTGGAAAACGCCAGGTGGGCCTTGTTGGAGCCCTGGTGGGCCAGCTTGGGGCTCTCTCGAGCCGTCCTGGGCCTATCTTGGGACGTGTTGGGGAGCTTGGGCCCTCCTGGTGGCCTCCCATGGCCCTTTGGGGGGCCTCCCACGGCCTTTTCGGTCTTCTCTTGGGGGCCTTGCGAGGGTCTGTTGGTTCTCTTTTTGGCCCATTTGGGGCTTCCTTGGGCAGTCTTGAGTCTTGGGGCCATCCAGGCCGTCTGGAGGCTTTCTCGGGGGTTCTCTTGGGCCGTCTTGGGGCGATACCGGAGACCTTTTTGGCTGCTTTGGACGCTGCTAAGACGCGAACAGCCAATATGCTGTAAATGCACGCTTCCTTGAGGAAATGAAGCGATTATTGTGTTCTGGGAGTCCTGTTCAGGGCCTCCTGGGCCATCTTGGGGGCCTCTGGAGGCAATTTGGGTCCTTCTTGGAGCGCTCTTGTGCTGTCTTAGGCCTCTCTTCGGCAAATTTGATCACCGCTCTGATCGCCTGGGGTCTGCCGGCAAGACCCAGCCAAGCGCCCTGGGAGGTCCGGGACGAGCCGGAGGATCTTTGGCAAGGGTGTCCGCGCTGCCCGGAAAACCCTGAATCCTGGGGGCGAGGGGATTTCCCCACCCCCCAGCTTGCAAACACATAGGAAGAGGACGATATCACGACATACCGTACGACGCATCGATTGCACCTCCAGGGCTCAAACCACATAAGAGCTTACACCACATGGCTTACCCCGCATGACAATCACCTCCACAGTGCGACACCTCAATGTTGCGAGTCCAGGCTGGCTAACACGCGCACACACGCCTGTCTGTACAGATATACGTGTATACACATATATGTATATATGTGTACAGATATAGATACAGTTATACTTGTACAGTATGAAAGCCCTGGTATCGGTGGCTTATCCTTGCCCCATCGTTGCTGCCATGCTGGGCCCCGACATCGGTGACTCATCGTTGCCCTCCATCCCATCATTGCCCCCAATCGTTACCTCTCATCGTTCCCCCCCACATATCGTTTCCCCATATCGTTTCACTCCCTCGTTTACCCCCATCATTGCCCCCGATCTTTGTCCCCCGTCGCGGTCCCCCATCGTACCTGTGTAAAGCTGTTCACGGTCATCTGCCGCAAGGGTGTCAACCTGTAGGCTCTCAGCCATGCTTGGTGTTTCAGGCCTCCCAGCTTGAGACGGAGACAGAGAGAAGGCCAAGACAGCCAAAGGCAGGCCCCGAGAGACCCCCAGACGGCCCAGGACGGCCCCAAGATGGCACCAAGTCGGCCCAAGCGGAGCCCATGAAAGCCCCGTGATGACCCAGGAGATGTCACGGCCGCCACATTGAGTGCCGCGCTGATGCGAAGCCCGCCACGCGAAGCCCGCGACACCAGGCGGTGCTCGAAGCGCCGCCACACGGAGTGCTGCGCTGACACAGTGGGGGCAACTTGCAGCAGGAAGCGGGATGTTTGCACAGTGCTCCGAGGTGGGCAGGCGGAAGGCGCAGAACGTTTGCATGAACTTGACTGGCCTCGGTGTACTGCTCGACTCATCCACTACGCTGCATTCCTTGTTATAGAAATCAATGACGCCCTTCGGAAGAGCACCGGCGCCGCAGATCGCCACCTGAATTCGGCCACCCAAGATACTCAGACTGCGGTCCTGCTGCATCCTTGCAGCCACATGCATGTCTTCCCAGAACTTTGGAACGCCCTTCAAGAAGGTCGGGCGGACTTCCTGGAGGTCTTTGATGATGTCTTCCATCTTGCTGTGCCCATGGCAGTAAGTCACAAGGCCCACACGTCCCCCGTTCCAGAGGCTGGTTGCGACTGTGTGCCGGTCTGTGATGAAAGCCAGGGGCTGGTAGGAGACTCCCACCGACAGCCGCGCGGGGATGTGGGCCATGTTCGTGAGCCAGAGCCCGTCCGAATACACCACGCCCTTGGGAAGGCCCGTGGTGCCCGAAGTGTGGATGATCGTGTGCGTGGCGCTCGGGTCTCGCTGCACCGGCGCGGCCAGCGGTGGAGTCCGCAGGAGGCGGCTCAGCTCCGCGACGGTGCAGCCCCTGGCCTCCGCAGCCTGCGCCCCGCACGCCAGCGGCCCAGCGCACGGCACAGCCCCCTGCGCGAGGATGACCAGCTGGGCCCGGGCCGCCGTGGCGGCGCCGAGCACCTTGGTGGCGCTGCCGGAGTCGCAGGCGATCGCCGCCAGGCCGCGCTGCTCCGACACCTTGCTCACAGTCAAGGGGTCCCAGACCTCGCTCAGCGCGACGGAAGGCATGGCAGCGAACATGCACGCATAGTCCAGCAGTGCCCACTCATAGGAGCTTCTCATGCAGATGCCCACGGAGCTGCCAGCGGGCAGCTCACTGTGAAGCGCCGCTGCCAAGGCAAGAATGTCGGCATGGAAAGAAGCGTATGTAGACCACTCGAAAGGAGCCTCCGCATGGGGCCGGCGGCCAATGCAAGGCCGCCCAGAGTACGTCTTAAATGCTCGCTCAAAAGACTGGCCGCACCCACCAGTAAGAGGCGTGTCGCGCAAGTTCCTTGTGGCGAGCTCGCCAGTAGCGCCATCGAAATACTCTTTGGCATCATGCGTGGGCACCAAGAATGTCGGGCGGGCGGCCCAACCTGGCAGCGGAACGGACGTCATCGCATGACGAGGTGGATCCCCAAAACCCGAACCAGATTGGATGCCACCTCCGCGCGGAGGGGGAGGCGGAGGAGGATGAGGAGGAGCACCCCCCCTGAAGAGGCTGTGGGGCCCAGATACTCCACTCACGGGGGGCCTCCCCATCCTCCCCCTCCTCCTCCTCCTCCCTCCTCCCCTCCTCCTCCTCCTCCTCCTCCTCCTCCTCCTCCTCCTCCTCCTCCCTCCTCTCCCCAATCCTTCTCCTCCCAATCCTTCTCCCCCTAATCCCCTCCTCCTCCCCCTCCTCCTCCCCCTCCTCCTCCCCCCTCCCTCCTCCTCCTCCCCCTCCTCCTCCCCCTCCGCCTCCTCCTCCGCCTCCTCCTCCTCCTGCTCTTCCTCCTCCTCCTCCTCCTCCTCCTCCTCCGTTTCCTCGCTCCACCGCCTGCCCTGTGCTCCAGCGCCAGCACACCAGCCCCGCCCCTCCGCAGCGCCCTCCAGGAGGGGGGAAGCGCAGAGGGAGGCGGAGCACGCAGGCAGGCGGTGAGGGAGGAGCGCCCCCGCCCCTCCGGAGCGCCCTCCACGCCCACGAAGACCATGCTCTGCCCGGCGGCCCGGTACTCCACGCCGCCGAAGGTCGAGCTGCGATAGAAGAACTGCGCGAGAGGGAGGCTCCCGATGCACGGCGCGAGTGCGCCCTGCGTTCTCCTCCCCGAATCCCTCCCTCCCTCCCTCCCTCCCCCATCCCTCCTCTCCTGCCGCACCCTCCCCCTCACCCGTCCTCCCCCACCTCTCCTCCCCTCCGCCCACCGCACCACTCCACCCACACCACGCGAGCCGACCGATTGGTACGCCGACGCCAACCTTCAGGATTTTCTTGGTCACCCTTTTCTTTTCTCCTCCAACGTGTCTCGCATCGCAAGCTGTCCAGGCAAGGCAGACTCCAGCGGCCACGGCCCCCTTCCCCCGGACGGTTGAGCACAGCGGTGGTCGCACATTCGCTCGCTCTCCTTTACCTCCCTTTTCCCTCTTCCCTTTCTCTACTCTCTTTGCCTCCCGCTCGTTCCTCGCAGTGGACCCTGCGCGACCACGAGTCGGGCTTGCGACCAGATGTTTAATATAAAAGCAAGCTGACAATTCGACGAGAAGACGAGGGCGGATGCTGATAGCAAATCCACGGCGAGCTGAAGGCACTCTCTGCCAGGCCAGAGAGGAAGAGAGCAGTCGCAAGTCAGGGCCTCATGGGCCAAGGAAACAGGATAGGGCGACGAAATCTATACACATCCACTGCTCCCTGGCCAGGCCCATCCTGAACCCAGCAGCAGTGTCTACGCCACGCCCTCCTGGCTACAGGCCAGGAGGGCGCATACACAGCTCCTGGGTTCACGATGGGCCTAGCCAGGGAGCAGTGGACATGTGTAGATGTCGCCGCCCGGCAGGAGCTATCTCACGCCACGGTGCGTCAGCCTAGAGCGTCCCAGAGCGTCTGGGGTCCTCTCCCTGGGGCTTTCGAGCATCCTGCCTGCTCCGCCCACCCTGGAGCCCGAGCAGCCGCCTGCAGCCTCACAACTGCGCAGCGGCCCGGAGCGGATCGAAGCGGAATGCGCGTCGGACATGGCCGCGTCGGCACGGAATCGGAAGCGGCCCAGGGCCGCGCCGAGATGCACGACCGCGCCACGTCGGCATCGGGCCGCATCGCACCGCCGGACAAACCAGAACCGAACGGGATCCAGCCAGCCCCGACAGAGAAAGACTCCGGACCGAAGTGGACCCTGCCCCTTCCCCGTCCCCTCCCCCTCCCCCGTCCCACGCGGGCCTGCTGCTGCATGCCCCAGTGGACCGTGCCCTGCACCCGCAGGTCTGACAGAAACCCCCCGCTGGCGTAGTGCCTGTTCTCGCCGTCGGCGCCGTGCTCCTCGCCAGGGCGGGGCGGGCCATCGCGTGGTGCTGGCCCCCCTTGCACGCTGAATTGCACCGCCTCCTTTTGCTTGTCTTTCTATGTTTTGATGATGTTTTGTCTCTCTCTGTCTCTCTCTGTCTGTCTGTCTCTCTCTCTCTCTCTCTCTCTCTCCCCCTCTTCCTATGCGCATGCGTACTGATGATCTCTCTCGCTCCCTCTTCCCCCGCCTGCCTGTCTGCCGGTGGGTCTGTCTTTGTGTCTGACTTTGCCCCCGGGCGGGGAGGCCTCCTGGGGGCGAGCTGGCCCGAGGGCTGCTTTCCGGAGCGCGCCCGCGGCCGAAGCCCGAGGCGAGGTGCACGGAGGAGGGCGGGGCCTCATCTGCGGGCTCGGTCGACGGCACGTCGCTGAGCGGTGCAGCAGCCTCTCCCGCGCAGGGGCAGGACGACGACGACGACGACGACGACGACGACGACGACGACGACGACGACGACGAGTCAGGAGTGGCACTGTCGAGAGGAGTGGGGGTGGGGGGTGTACGAGTCTGAAGAGGCGGCGCAGGATGGAGAAAAGGGGAGAACAGCCGTCCGACGAGAGCGTTGTCCTCGCCGGGATGCCTGGTGAAAACAAACCGTGGGCAGCCGACAGGCGGGATCGTTGGGTCGGAACGGGACGCGGTAAACGTCTGGGGGGAGGCGCGGGGGGGGGGGGCGAGGCCAGAGGCAAATGGGGGAGACGGGGGTGGCCTCCTCCCATCGCCGCGCCACGCCTCCGACGATGCTCTTAGCTCCAAGGTGGCCTCCGTGGAGGCTCGGGCTGCCAAGCTCCAACTGGCGATGCTGGAGCCAAGCCCCGGCCGTGGCATCTCAACACGCGGGCGGGCCACGGCGCCGGGTGGCGCCTGAGGTGCGTCTCCCAGCCGATCTATCGCCAGCCCGCACTCTGATCCAGGCGCCGCTGCGGTTCGCATCCGCGCCTCTCCGTGCACACGTTGCCCAACTCCAGGCTTTGGGCTCACATGGAATCGGCTTTTTCAGTGCAGCACCCGCGGCGAGACGGGCGAGGCTACCGTTCTGCATGGGAGCATCCGCCCCCCCCTCCCCCTCTCTGCCCTGCCCTCGGGTGTTCGTGAACGGGGGGGGTCAATGCGGGGTGAATAGAGGCCTCCAAGGTGGGGTCGGAGTAGATGGGGTCACAGGATCGCGCGGCATTGCCGATGCATCGTCGATGCAATGGCGACGTCGGCGACGCATCGGCGACGCCGTCGTGGAGGAGGGTTCCGCATCGAGCCGCATCGTCAATGCATCGGCGATGCGACGCGATGTTTCTTCTCGGACCCCATCTGGGAGGCCTCGAATGAAAAAACGTGCGCCTGTCGCGGGCCTTTTAGAGCTCGCGGTGACAGTTCCGGGGCCGGTTTCAGGGCCCCTTTGAGGAGCCACCTTCCTGCAGCCCTCGATCGATCCCCCCGCGTGCACTGCCGCCCCCCGTCGTTGCCCTCTGGGGTGGCCCACCCGTGCATTGCCCCCCCCCCCCCGTGTATCGTCCTCCACCGCGTCGGCCCATGTGGCGGATTCCGGAAACCATCTCGTGGGGTCGCATCATTTCGACTGCACGCAAGAGTGACCCTGGGTAAGAGTGACCCGTGGTGCGCGGTTCATTGGAAGCCACGAGGGGACCAAACACGAGCGCGCAAGACGCTCGTACCGCATCGCGTTCGGCGATCGGGGGGCCCCCCCTGGGCCCGCACCAAAGGTCACTCCAGCGAAAAGCCACCGTGTAGTCGATCTTTCTGCTTCCGCTGGCATCCGCCGCCCCTCCGCCGGCTTCCGCCGGCGGAGGCGGCCTCGTCTTACTTCCACCACCCTCCCCCGCCCCCCGTCGAGGAAGAGATGACAACTCCACCTGCCCTCGAAGGCAAGGCCCACTGGGGCCCTTTTTCGGAACCACCCCATACCTTGGGTGTGGCAGCACTCGCGGCGGGGCGCGAACGGCCCCGAGAGTGCGTTTTTGTGTTCCAGCACACGAGCCGTCCAAGGGACAGGGGGTGCGGAGCGGAGGAGGACGAGGAGGGAGGCGAGGAACAGAGGAAGGGGAGGACGCCGACGGGGGCGGGTGGAGGGGGAGAGGGGAGGAGTGGCAGGACGAGAGAAGGGGGACCCGTGAGGGGAAAGGCTGCGGGGATGGACTCTGAGGTAAGACTGGTTCGGGGAAGAGGGGGGGCGGGGATGGGGGGGCGAGGAAGGACTGGGACGGGGACGGGGACGGGGACGGTCCGCCAGTCTCGTCCCTGCGCCCTCCCCCCTGCGGGGGCTCCTCGTCGGTTTCCGAAAGCCACAGGTCCCCTCGCACCACGCAGCGGCGGAGCGACGCGCCCTGCGAGATGGACCAGAGCGTGCTGCCCTCCTGGGCAGGTCACGGCGAGAAGGGGGCGGAGGGGGAGGAGAGGGATACGATACGATACGCACACCCTTAACGCCATGTTGTCTGGTTGTCCAATGAGTGCTGTACTCACTTTGTTACAAAAACGCGCAGCAGTGGGCCCTGAACATACAAGACTGACTGTGGCGCGGTGAACCTTCCCTTTGGAATGAATGCCTATGCCGAAGCTCTACGCACCAGCGCCGCGGAGGAGGAGGACGAGGAGGAGGAGGAGGACGAGGAGGAGGAGGAGGAGAACGAGGAGGAGGAGGAGGAGGAGGCGACGAGGACGAGGAGGAGGAGGAGAAGGAGGACGAGGAGGAGGAGGAGGGGGGTGAGAGGCAGGAGGAGGAGGAGAGGAGGAGGAAGAGGAGGAGCAGGAGCAGGAGGAGGAGGAAGAGGACGGCGCGACGACGACGACGATGACGACGACGGTGAGGACGACGAGGGCGAGGATGACGACTGCGGCGAGCCCCCCTTCCCCCCCACCCCGCCGCGTCGGAGGTCTGTCCCGCAGGATCCCCTAGAATTCCCCTCCTTGTGCTCCCATCCCCCTCTCCCCCCCCCTCAAGTCTGGGCTCGAGAGCTTTGCCATCGGCCTGCCCTCGCCTCCACGTGGCACTCGAGGGACACCGATAGGCGCAATTTCTTTGAGCACGCCTCGGTTGACGAAGAAAGGCACTGCACACATCCGTTTGCATCCTTTCTTTGGCTCTAGCCATGGGTGGCAAACATCAGGGTTTGTCTGGAACGCAGTAGCAACAGTGGTCGTATGCCCTTCCGCCGCCACCATCTCCCTCGCCCGGATGGACAAGGCGTCAGACGCACAACAGGCAGGAAGGGAATGACATGGTGATCGCTCATGCGTGACGTTGCGCGCCACGTGGGCAACAGGTGCAACTACATAGGCCCAAGGAACATTATCATCAACAACAAACTGGTCCGACTCAGCTCGCCCTGCCGCCCCCGAGCCAGTCCGTCAGGCGTGACAGCTTCATCTTCGACGCCGCTGGCAGCTTTCGGGCAGGCCCTGTCCCAGACCGCAGGGCCAGCCATGAAGACTCTGCTTGCAGCACACGTGAGCAAGTTGAAGGATGATGTCCGCGCCGGCTAGGCAATGGCACCAGAAGAATCGCGTCGTCGAGCAGCGCGTGCAGTACGCGATGCAGAGACCAAGCACGATCAAATAGTGCATGCGCTGGTGCAAGCACAAACACTAATACAGAAAACTACCGAAAGAGGGGCGGCTGCGGCTGCGGCGATCGCGCTGGCTAAGGGAGAAAGGTCCCAGCGGATTGCCGTGTTAGCGTTCGCTCAGCAAGCCAGTGCAGTCGGCAAGGCAGCCGCCGAAGCAGAGAACAAAAAACACTAAGATCAACCAATCACCGCCGATTGGGACGAGAACATCCTACGCGACATTGACGAGATTGGCGTCAACGGCGGACGGAAGACCGACCTGAAGGAGCTGGATAGAGAGCAACATGCGCCAGGCTCGAAGAATTTGTCGGGTCGAAATTCAACGAAGTGCAGCAATGGCTTTACATTGTAGAGCCATTGCTGTACCTCGTAGCAAACACAAAGAGACGCAGCCAACCATCGTCGACAGGATGAAGAAGAAACGGCGAGGCGCGGACGGTGGGGCCACTTCGGACGGCGGAAGGGGGGGGCTCAGGCAGCGGAGCGGGTTCAGCTTCAGCAGCAAGAGCCGCCGAAACCTCTGGCGCCGTCCAAGGGAGCCACGCCAACTCCGCAGCAGCCGGCGGTTTTACGACGAAGCAGCCGCAACAGCCAAGACGAATGCCAGAGGACCAGCGCGGCGAAACTCGCAGCGGCTACCGCCGCCAAAAGTGCAACTGCTGCGACCAGCGGGTCGGTCGCACTCTGACGGTTGCCCCGGAGCCGCGCGAGTCGCCAGTCAACCAGGACGGCCTTGAGCAAGGCTCCTGCGGCGAACGAGCAGGAAGAAGCAATTGCCTCTGAAACGGGATTCGCTGTTGTTGTTAACTTTTCTGCGGTGGTTTGAAAAACTCGGGGATTTCTCGCTGGCAAGCAGTTCAGTAGTGACAGTGCGTTAATTAAATGTGTTGGCCCTCTGCCCGCGCCCCCGCGTCGGGGATTCTGGGCGGAGGGAAGAGGCTCACGAAGCTCGCTCAGATGTTCCCCCAATCACCCTCGAAGTTCGCGGAAGCCTCAGACCCACGAGGGTCAGAAACGAGCGGGCGAAGGTGGAGAGGGGGATCTGGAGGCCTGCGATTCTTCGGCCTTCAGTGAGTTGACTGCAGCAGTTTGCCATGTCAGAAGATACTTATTCATTATGGGTTCTGTGTACACGTTCTCTTGCGAAGGGTTCCGAAGGGGGAATATTGCGCGATTCGCGCGCCTCGGCGCCCTGCAGCAGCAGCGTCGTCTCCCGTGGGTCGCGATCGGGAACTCTAATTGTCCGCCAGAGACGTTGTGACGAGTGAGTTTGTTAGACAAGGACAACGGCGTTGTCCGCGCAGCCAGCGTTGCCGCCACGCCGTGTCTAAGCTCGAAGCGCGCGCGGATGCCCCGTGGCGTCCGCGCGTTGGCTGAGTTTTATATGTCAAGCGTGCTTGTCAGCAGCTTCTGCGTCGCGCTCTCAAGATGGCCTGAGACAGGTCCCTGGGCCCGAGGCCCTCCCACTGTCTGACGCGAAGTTCACCAGGTCGCGTGCTGAGGCAGCATGTCAGCGCAGCGTTGCGCGCGCGCTGGCCCGCGAACAGCGCGAGATCTCTTGGCGACCTCCAGGGCGACAGCGGAAGCGCCCAGAATCGGGGCGCCTCTTAGCTGGGCGAACCCAACGATGAAAGCGATCACACTGGTGCTCCATTGCCTTTAGCTTTGTTGCCTGGGCCTTCGTTTGACTGGCCGAGCTTATATTAATTGCCGAAAAACCAAAACCTGAAGTACCTGTGGACGCCGAGACATTCGAGGATCAACGCCAGCCTCTCGCTGAAGGGCCGCCCGAGGACGATGTCGAGCCACGTGATGAGACCCACCAGGATGAGCCTGTAAATGCTTACCTTCCCCAGCCCTCTCCCCCTCTCCCCGCGCCCAGCACGTGTCCCCGACCATGTCTGGGGCTAGTCTGCCAGAGTTGGCATGCCCCTTTGCAGCGCGCGTCGACTGCATGGCCAGTCGCCCGCGGATCGGCCGCGTTTCGCGCTGGGAGAGGCAGCGTCATGAAGGTTACAACCATGCGCGCCCAATAGGTCTGCGCTGCTGAAATAGCGATGCAGTCCCATCACGGGGTCCACCCCGGCAATCGTTCTCGGGCTCCAGGGCCGTGGTTTCACGAAGCCGATCTGCGCGCGCTAGATGGGATGCGCCAGGAATCGATCCTTTGGAAGGCGGCTTGCTGGCGGAGGAGAGCGCAGACAACACTTCTTAATCAACGGAGGCGGCAGCCCAAGCTTGCAACCAGCACGGCGCGCGCTCCACTTGCACCGCTAGATTGAGCCGACGGTGCCGGGGCTCTCTGGTAGTCTGTTTTACTTCCGGTCGAGCATTATAATGCGTTTGCCTTCAGAGAGTTGCCGCAGTCGCCGAGCGCGTCGCGGGGCGCGCCAGGCTGCAAGAGTTACAAAGCTCTCTCGTCGATGTGAGAGCGCGGGGGGCGTCGGCCCGCGCTCGTGAAATCTTGCATACATCTCTTCAGAAGGCTCCCTTTCCCCCGCCCCTGAAAACGCGGGGGGGGGGGGGGGGGTCTGTCTCGCCCCGGAGATATCCACGATCGCATGGCTCTGAATGGTGGCGCGAGCTGCGCGGCCCAGGCGCAATGTCGCCCGCGGGTGGGCTCGATCTTCCAGGGTCTCAGTGCTGCCGTGGGAGACGAGCAGCAGACGCACGTCGCGCTCGAGCGTCTTGGCGCCGCTCTCAGTTCGACGCTGGCGCGGGCTAGGCTTGGCGTCGATCAGATGGTCCCCGTCGACGCGCGGAGGTTGCCTGAGGCGACGGGGCGATCGAGCGAACGGCCATGCTGTCGATTGTGTGGTCGTTAGCTCGCGATGATGATGCGCCCTCCTGGTTCTCCTGGGAGCCCAGCTGGGGCGCTGCCATTCGAGGGGGCCCCGCCCTTCGCGAAACTTTTTCGTGAAAGCCCTGCGCAACGTGGTCTACATGGGGCTTGGGGTTGATTGCGGCGCAGGCTCGATCGGCGCCGAGGCGCCCTGCGACCCCGTGCGCTGGGAGTCCCTGGTGCAGACGGCCCTGCGTCTGGGTTTCCCAGCCGCTATTCTCGGCTTCGACTGCGGCGCTGCATGGCACCTCGTGCCTTAGCCCAAGGGGGATACATCACTTCTGCTTTTCAACCGTCTCAGCCGGTTGCGCAAGGGCTCCGGAGCGGCGCTCGATGTTTGCCAGACGCACACTGCGCTCGGCATTGGACAAAATCGCTACTATCCACGCGGGAGCCTCCATGAGAACCTGGGGCGACGACTTTTTCTGTCAGCAGGTCGCTGGTTCGCGCGGCACTACGCGGGCGCGACTTCTCCGCGCGCTCAAAGACGCGCGCGACGAGTTATAGGGGGCCGGTTTGCAAGAGGCCCCGAAGTGCGCCCCCCCGTGTTCTCAGCCCGACGAAGGTAAGTCCGTTGCCGCGCAGCTCCTCAGGCAGCGCGGCGCAGAATGCCGCGGAAGCGCCATAGCTCGGGGCGGCTCTCGGAGCCGACCGCCGCGCCGAAGCCACTCGGAGCAAGAGAAATCTTTCAAGCCAAAAAGATGAGCGGGGAGATCCGTCGCTCCACGCGCGCCTAGCCGAAACGAAAGGTCACTGGTTGCCTTGAACGCGCAGGGGCACCAGCTGCAGGATCGCGCGACCACTGCTGCCATCGCGAACTGTTCACGCGCCGTCTAATAACCGCCCCAATAAGATCCAATCACAAAAGATCAGTCTTACCACATGGCTTGGTCTACGCGCTTTCGGTGCCGACCCCGCTGTCAAAGTTTCTAGGGGCACGATGAAG